CATGCTGGAGACAGTTGGTGATGGGCTGGCACAGATAGGGACAGTAAAGATGAGCAGCAGTATATACAGAGGCATGAGGCAAATCTTATCAAAGGAGGAACTGCAGCATTTCTTAGGGGAAAACGGGAACAGATCTACTGTTTGGTGAAAACTTTGCAGGGCAAGGGGAAGTCTTGTCGTGGCAAGATGGGCTGAATTACGTAAATGGAGATGAGGGGAGAGGAGTGCTCACCTCCCCTTCTGAGCTCTGAGTTACCTCCTGTGGTCTTCTAAGGTTCTTTTTTGGGGGGAGGGGTCATGACTTCTCCACGCAAGTGTTGACAGAGAAATGCTTTGCCTTATGTTAGTCCCTCTTTAGAGGAACCAGTAAGTCTAGCTTTTCTATTGACTCATTGTAGTACTGTTTTTAGGGATGTGTCTTGCTGTGGAATGTCAGTGTTTTAGGATGGCCTATAGTATCTAAGTACAGGCCTTTTACTGCAACTGTAAGGAAGAAAAATAGGTTTTGCCAACAGACGTGTTTCAGAGCAGCCTGCTTAGTGCAAAATGTGTCTCATTTGGCTCAAATGATCAGAATTATGTAAATAATGAGCTTGTTACAGGCATGTGAGCCTTTTCTGTGTGTTGTGAGAAAAGACAAAGGGTTCAAACTTGTCAGCAGTGTTAGCTTTCCCAAAAGTGTTTATGGTGGTATGCATGAAAAGGCAGTGGAACTGGCAAGCTTATTTAAAAAAAAAAAAAAAAAAAGTGCTGTATGTAACAAATATTCAGCTTTTCATGGAAGAACTGAGCTATGATATTAGGCACTTTCTGAAGTCTGATTGAGGCTTTTCCTTAGTCCACTTCACAAGGTTACTAGGTTAATGATTAGTTAAGGAGAATGTTTTTATATCAGCCAATGCTGCTGGCAAGGAATACTGTTAAGGTGCATTAATAACTTTTTTGTAGTCTGCCTTTTGCTATTGATTCATGTTGACCCTCTCCCTTCTTACTCAGTCCTCCAGGCTGGGTGGGCGTTTTGTTTGTTTGTTTTTGGGTTTGTTTATTTTGTTTTGTTTTTAATACAAGCAGCTGGCAACACTACTGGTGGAATCAAATGCTGAGTCTTAGCAAAGTTTTTTATTCCTGTGATCAAGATACCATGGCTTAAAATATTTTTTTAAACACTTGATTATGGAGGATTTTGAAAAATCTAAAATACAATCGTCAGAAAAGATTGATGCTATCCTCCAGTAGAAAGAGGATTACTTGTGATTTCATTAGATTTAGTACAGAGATTGAAAGCAACTTGCAATCAAATATAAGTTGCAGAGATCGAAATCTCTCCAAACTGGTTGGGACTGGAAGCTGATTGAGAAGCCCAAAACAAAGGCAGTGTGTTTCCTGAAGAAAACAACTTTTAAGGAAGTGAATCTAGTGATAAGTGCCATTTAATTTAACACCTGTTAGGGCAGAGCCCTTACCTATGTAGTACATAGTGATGAAATTCATAAGCTACACTGCAGAAGGAATTTAATGCAAGGACGTAAATGTAATACCAAGGTGCTACAGATGCTGTGATAGGATTTCTCATAGGAAGGTGCAGACTTCCCAGTCGTGGTCAAGATGTGCGCATGGTCAGTATGAGGGAAAGCTTAGCGAACAGGAATTTCAAGATCTAAATCTGACTTCTAACAAGTAAGACGCAAGTTCGCACCGGCATTGGCAAAGAGGCAATTGGTGCAGTTTTGGATTCTGTGTACAAAAAAAGCTTTATACTGTGGAAGGTTGTCTCCGTGAGACTTTTGTTTCAGGATGCCTTATCAGAAATGAAAGCAAACTGAAAGGAATTGGAAGAAGAGTGCCCTCTCCCCAGTAAACTACAACAATTTTTCACTATTTTTGCCATTAAAGGGTTTAGCTAAACTGTTTAGGTGACTGTTACCTTTAGTACCCCAGCTTGGACACCTGTAGTTGAGTGCTTTGCTCAAGTGAATTAAGAGACTTGGTAAATTTTAATCATTTATTCCTTATAACTTTGCCTATAAAGATGATGCTGTATCTGGTAACTCTTTTCTGCTTTTAGAACTTGTCTACCCTTCGATTTCGAGAGTAAGGCGGAAAGGCTGGGAGTTGTCACTGCTATAGTCTGAAATGGCAGATGAACTTAACAGTAATTGTGACTTAATGCTTGTATTGGCTTTGCGTTGCAGCTGCAGTGCACAGATGTATTAAATGCAGAGATTAAGTCATCTCTTGTCTGTTCCCTGAAAAGGGTACCATTGGTAATGCAAAGTTACCAGTGACTAATTGGGAAGCGATACATTAAATAAATGTAGCTCCAAAGCTAATAGGTTAACATCTGTTGCTGAATTTCTGCTGAGAACTAAATGATTTCAATCTGTTTTTAGGTGTCTTTGTATCCAGTGTTGTTCTAGTCTTACAACAGAGAGCACTTTTCAAGTTTTATATGATCGCCTCGGCATTTCTGCTGGCTGTGACTTCAGTGTTGGTGAATTACTATGCTTCTTTGCACATAAACTTCTACAGTGCCTACTACACAGCTGCGTTCGGAATTCAGATCTTCCCTCATAAAGGACCTTCGCTATGGATGGCACTTTCCATCCTTCAGCTTACCTTTGGAATTGGGTATGTTACATTGCTAAACGTGCAGTCCATATACTCTCAACTCATCATCCTGGATATACTGATTCCTGTAATCGGCTTGGTTGTTGAATTACCTTTAAACATCCGGCAGATACTAGTTTTTATTTCAGGCCTAGTTCTCACACTAAATACCACAGCCATTTTAGTTATGAAAATTAAATGGTTCTATTATTCGGTACGGTATGTTTATCTGCTGGTGAGGCACATGTATCGCATTTATGGATTACAGCTATTGATGGAAGATACATGGAAAAGGATTCGGTTTCCAGCTGTACTGCGTGTCTTCTGGCTAACGAGACTTACAGCACAAGCTGTGGTATTAACATATGTTGTAAAGATGGCTGAAACTAATACAGAAGAAAAATTCTTCTTGATATCATGGGATAACTGCTGGGAACTGATTTGCAGTCTAATCATAAGTGGGTGTGACTCTACTTTAACTGTGCTAGGCATGAGTGCCGTCATTTCCTCAATAGCGCATTATTTGGGACTCGGTATCTTGGCCTTCATCGGATCAACTGATGAGGATGACAAAAGGCTTGGTTTTGTAGCGCCTGTCTTGTTTTTCATTTTGGCTCTGCAGACTGGCTTAAGTGGACTGAAACCAGAAGAACGGTTAGTTCGCTTGAGTCGAAATATGTGCCTTTTGCTGACCGCAGTCCTGCATTTTATCCATGGAATGACAGACCCTGTGCTGATGTCTCTCAGTGCCTCCCATGTGTCATCGTTTCGCAGACACTTCCCTGTACTGTTTGTTTCTGCTTGCCTTTTCATCCTCCCAGTTCTGCTCAGTTATATCCTCTGGCACCACTATGCACTAAATACATGGCTTTTTGCAGTTACAGCATTCTGTGTAGAGCTTTGCCTAAAAGTAATAGTTTCTATCACTGTTTATATATTGTTTATGATTGATGGCTACTATAATGTGCTATGGGAAAAACTTGATGATTATGTCTATTATGTTCGTTCAACTGGCAATATTATTGAGTTTATATTTGGAGTAATCATGTTTGGAAATGGAGCTTACACAATGGTTTTTGAGTCAGGAAGCAAGATTCGCGCTTGCATGATGTGTCTACACGCATACTTCAATATCTACTTGCAAGCAAAGAATGGCTGGAAGACTTTTATAAATCGCCGGACTGCTGTTAAGAAAATAAACTCACTTCCAGAGGTAAAAGGAAGTCGGTTACCTGAAATAGATGATGTCTGTGCAATCTGCTACCATGAGTTCACCACCTCTGCTCGCATTACTCCATGCAACCATTACTTTCACGCACTTTGTCTTCGGAAGTGGCTGTACATTCAGGACACTTGCCCAATGTGCCATCAGAAAGTATATATTGAGGACAAGGAAAATGCCAGTATCTCTAACAACAGTGGGTTTGTGGCACCAAATGAAAATCCGGTACAAGTTGCAGAAGAAGCTGCTGATGCTGAAAATGAATTAAATGAAGATAATGACAGTTCTGATAGTGATGAGGAAGATGATGACTGTGTGGCACAGCACTTCAATGAGACTCTTAATGTTGACTCTAACTCTCTTGGTGATTAAGATGCTCTTTACTAAGCCGTGAGGTACTTGTTTAAGATTGACTTCAACAGAATAAAAGTATCACTTTGTGGTTATTGTACTTAAGCACAACAGCAGTATCTCAATGTTGAGTCTGTGAATGGTGGTTGTTTACTGTGGTGTGTGCTACTGTAAATATACCTCTAATTTTTGCTGGTCTCTTTAATGACCACCTTAAAATTATGTACATTATTGTACATGGAATAAAACGTTTTCACATGTTTTTACGATGGTTGGAAAAACACTCTTTAATTGATGTAGTGATAATGCTGTGCCAAAGACTGTATACCAGTAAAACCTGATCAATGAGTTCTGGATACAAATGAATAATACTGGTGAAAACGGACTGTTCAGCGGGTCAAATCAGAACTGAAAAGCCTGAACCAAAGCAGCTTTACTTACAAATTCAGTATTAGCAGAGCTTTATCGTTAAAAACTAGTGAGTTGTGTTTTAAAAAAATAAAGTAAATAAAAATTTAGGTTGGTAGACTTAATGTTATAGCATTTTCGTACATGGAACAAAAGACAAAGCTGCTAAGCTTTCTGGTAAAGTAGTAAAGCATGCCATTGATGTGTTAAACACTTCTGAATTACCAGTAGTAGCTTGAAGTGCTCTACATGTGAACTCAACAGCCTGATATTCATCTTGTAATGCATACAGGTATTAACAAGAGTTGCTAGCTTGGGCTGTCCTTGAAATCAATCCTGAATCTTGATGAAAGGGAAGCAGGGCTGAGAAACTGCACAAATGCAGACCACCTTTTCAAAAGCAGCTTTAATCTTTTACCATTAGGAAAAAAGAAAAAAAAAAAGCACTACATAGTGGCTTCCATTGATAAGAACTTGCAGATATGGTAATTTTTAAGTTTTTGCAGTATATTTACTAAAGTTATGCTGAATAAATGTAAGAAAAAACAACTTTATATATTTGGAAAGAAGACTTTAATAGTGTTGTTATATAGAGTATTGGCCAACTCGAGTGGGTCATCTTCTCTTACTGCTGCCATTATTTCCAGTATTTGACTAAAAAAGAAAGATTGATATTAGAAGACTCTGAAACTCAGTACTGAATATACTTCAGACTGCTGCATGTATTATGTACAAGTCACTAAGATTAACCTGGAATAAAAACCTATGCTGAGAGCAGCAGGGCAGGGTGCTCGGGTATGCAAATAGCTTCACTTTTAAGTCACTAACTGCCATTCCCTTTACACTGAACACTGGTTGCTCACTGGTACAGATTCATCTTTGGTCTTTTGACTCTTGTTTGGAGGTAATTAAACAGCTTTCTGTTTCAAAGAAAGTGTCATTTTGTGGGTGTCTTTATCAATGGTCTTCATTTTTCAGACTGAAGTTCATCAGCCTTTCAAGGCTAAAGTTGCACTATGAATAAACTGGTCTATGGCAAAGCTTAAATTCCAGATGCAGCCTTATCTGAGTATAGCTGCCAAAGTAACTTATTCCTACTTCCCCATTCTCTAGATTAATTGTGATTAATGCATTCAGATATTTGCAGTAGATGTTAAATGAGCAATTTTAAAAGGCCCATAGCCTTGATACAAGCCAGGAAAAGGGGGCAAAAGAAATGGGATGAATAGTATTAATGCTAACAGAAAACCAAGCCACAATCTTTTCTCTGCATTCTGAGAAAAACAAATATTCTGCACAGTTCCTAAGATGTGTTATACTTTCATTTTTTTTTTCTAGTAGCAGAAAAAAAGCTTCATGGTGAAAATTAAAGAACCTCAAGCCTAGAGGTAGGGTTTGGTGGTTTTGGTTTTTGGATCTTGCCTCTTAACTTACACAATAGCTAAACATTTTGAGGAAGACAGAGTAGAAAAAGTTGCTCTTAACAATTACTGGAATGCAGATATTTTCCTAGATGCAGAATTAGCCCATTTCATGACCGTTCCTGTGCTTTGCAGCCAGGAAAACATTTATTTAATGGAGATGAGATAACTAAACATTTTCACTAAAATGATACATTTCCCTGCTTTTCACACCTCTATGAGGAAGCACGTGAAAAGGTGGCAGAAACCAGTTTCTGTACTTTCTAACTCTGTCCATAAGCCCCTATAGTTTTCTTTTGCTATTCTGTTGACTGCTGTTACTCGTACCTAAACTTCACAGGATCCATTTTTTTAAAGCACATTAGCAGAATGAAGAAATGATCCTAACCAAATTCATGTTACGGCAGTTGATGTCACAGGCACTACTCGGTGTCTCAGTACTGCCCCCTCTGCAGAGGACTGCACAGCTCCAGTGCTGCTACCAGTTTTAAAAATAACTGGAACAACAACTGAGTGAAATTTATTCAAGTCAGGTTACTTTACAGGGTTTAACCCCTTCTCCAGTGTATCAAGTAAAAAGTTAAAAACAGTACTGGTTTCACTTTCAGAGAGCTTTTTACATCCAGAATTTCTGAAGTGGGAAAATTGAGACCTTTTAGATTTTTCCACAGCCTATAAAGCAATACCTTGCACAAGTTTCTATAAATTTAGAACTCATTTCTATTTACTACATCTCCATTGAACTGATTTTTTTCCATTTTTTTTCCCCTGTGAGATCTGAAGTATTTTAAATAATAGTACAGCAGTACACTTACATTATATGGCAGGGTTCATTTCTGTCCTTCAAGCAGTGCCCTATTTCCCATTTCTTTTTTGTAGGAAACGTAGTTTTAATGTATTTTGATCCAGCATGAGTATTTTTCACTCCACACCAAGGTGCATCTAGTTTAATTTAAAAAAAAGAAGAGTATGCAATTGTTTGAGAATAGCATGAGATAGTTTAATCAACTACTTCCACAGACAAAAGTTCTTGCAATCTCTTTCTAGCAGTGACTTCGAATTCAAAATAGAATTTAAGAGATTTGGGCAATTTAACGTCTTCACAATCTTTGAATTTTTACATTATTACCCTCAAGATTTTACATTTTAAAAAATCAGCATAGTACATAACACTAATTCCCTCTGATATTATAACGATAGCTAGATACACCGTGTCAGTTTCTGTGGAACTTTTAACAGGTCTGTACTTCATGTGCAAATAAATTTAAGGATTTAGGCAGTTTGTGGTTTTTCTTTCTCAGATTCAGAAATCAAAATAAATACTGTATTTATAACTGGCAGTTATTGATAATTGACATGAACATGGCAACAAAAAAGGCATCCCCAGACAGTCAGTTAAAATCACTGCTCATTAGGCCAAGAGGGGAATTCAAGCATTCTTCCACCTTCCTCCATTTAAAGAGCAGTTGTTTCCAAATGCCGTTACTGCCACCAGCGGCAAACTCATAGCCATTGCCCTGTGTTTGGCACATCTCCAGCAAGCTAGATTTTAAAAGATATTCAAGCAGGATTCTGGTACCTAGGAACATTTAAAAATCTGGGCTTGTCAATTTATTGTTTTCATCTTCCCCTGCAATGTCAGGAACTGACACGGCAGCTTATTCCTTCCAGCAGAAGGCTGAGAAGGAGTGTTTCTGGAGTCCATAAACTGCTTTCCAAAGTGAAGGAACAGCCAGTCCTTTTTCTACTCTGAACTCTGTAGGTCTTGATTCTGCCTTATCATTGCTATACAAGCATATCTTGTTGCCCAATAGTGTTTAAGTCACAAACTGACCAAGATATAAAATCTTACCAGTCTCTATCATTAATCGTTCACTAGGAATTGATTTCAGTGTTTCCAAGTTGGCTTCTGTTTTCAATGAACTAGAAAATCAGAGTTTGGTTAAAAATACATTAAAAATGTATAAAAGAAATTAGTTTGCCTGTTGAAGTGTTTTGCAGGAAAGGCAGCTTCCTAAATAATTTTGTTAGTGAATATAATTTGCTTCATTTTTAAAAGTGCTGCCTGTAAATTCAAACTTTACAGGAAACAGCAAATTTGGAGAGTTACTCAGTGAAGCCATCTCACCCTACTAAGCATGCGGAACTCCTGCCTGCACTGCCCATATTTGCTTGGCCTCAGCAACCCATGCAACTTATAAAGTGGTGCGGGCTGGCTTTTGGCCAGATGACTGCTGAGAATTCAGACTGCATAATCGTTAGATGAGGCTGCTCAGGTTACATTTGCATTACTCCTGGATTTGACGTGGCAGCTTAAAATTATGCTATTTTTTAAACGCTTCTCAGAAGGACTGCTTCCACGTTCAACAACCTTGCTCATTTACAAACAGGGATTGACCTGAGGGTAGTAGAATGGACCTAAGACTAGATTAACTCGCTGAGCTGTGAGTGAAGATCTTTTTATGGCTAACAGACTAATGAGTGCAATTCTAAATCTGTCAGATGATCAAGAGTCTAGGGAGCTTTGAAAACTTGACCTCATTGTTTAAAAGAAAGCAATGAGTTCACTACAGCTGACATTTTAAAATAGTTTCATTTCTTGTAAAGAACTTACCAGCCATTTATTCCAATATAAAGATCCAAATCTATTATAGCTGCTGCTTCCTCCTTTGTGCCATCAAAAGAATGCACCTAGAACATATATAAATAGATGCACACATACATACAAATAAATGTACTTCATTTAAAACTCCAATCATTTCTTTTATTTGCATTATATTATTTGCATTACTATTTACCTTTGATAGTATGCATTACACATCAATACAAACGTAAAGATGGGACATGGCTTAGCTGATTCTGAATTTGGGGAAAAGTTCAGGCTGAAGTCACTTGAATACTGCAATAGAAGCAGCTACCACGTTTTATTAGTGATAAGTATGTGTAGAAAAGGCTTATCCAGTGATAATGCTTTTGGCCTAGGAACTTCCTGTAGCTGATAGCTGGGAGACCATACACAGGAACTAATCCTGTGCATGCTGAATTTTTATATTCTTTCATCAGTATTCCCTACAGGGCACTGTCAGGGACGTAGTAAGAGCAGTGTTACGTTCTCCACAGATTTTAGTCCACTGGAACTAGACAGACAGTCTATTCGGTCATCCCAGGGACTAAAAAGGCAAGTCACAAGGAACAAACAGCGTAATGCATCTGGGAACTGCAGCTTCTCAGCCCAAGAGCAGTAAAGAGACTGTCTGCTTCCCAACGCTGCGAGGGGGACAGTCAGTTGCACCGGGTGCCTGCTCATCATTTCTCCACTAGTCACCGGTTTTGCAGAAAAGGAAGGAAGGAGAGACTGTACAGTATTACATAAGAGCACAACATGCAAAGTACTGAGGGAAAGGTTTTTGTGGTAACAAAGGGGAAACCTGGGGACTGAGATACTGTTGTAGGAGGTGTGGCCTGATGTTAGTAGGATAGAATAATCCAAGCATTTACTACTTTTGGAAAACCCTGCCATAATGGAAACCTGAAAGAGTGATGCTGGACTTACTTAATCATTTCATCTGAAGTTTTTCCTGTTATGCTTTTGAATTAAAATACATGATCTGAATATCTAAAGACATAAAGCAACCAAAAGTTACATCTGGATCTAATTTGAAAATGACGTCTAACGTCAGAAGCAAATGTTTGAGGTTACAGCTTCCACTGGGAACATGCATCTAAATTATCTGTGGTCTGAATGCACTGCAGTTACAGACACTGAAGAATTGGGAAAAGGCCAATGTCAATTACAAGGTACTTAAACTGTCCTTCTGACAGGCCAGGAAAAAGTGCTCGTGTCAGCTGCAGGGCTTTTTCTCAGCCTATCTTCTTACCTTGCAAAAAAGCTGTTGAATAAGCAACAAAAGTAAAAATACTAGAAGGGACTGGAAAACACTTGTTAATTAATAATAACTTAAATCATGTAACAGGAAGCCTGCCTAGATTCCATGACAAACAAGAAGTTGCATATTAAGCAACAATATTCACACACTTGCGTGTAAAAATGAATGCTACACTGAAGTCCATACTTACCACCCCTCCCACAAATCTATCTCGGTTTCTTCTCATTATGTCTATGAAATGAAATAAATAAAAATATAAGACAGCTTTATAACAAACAAAGGTGAAAGATTCAGGTTTCCAGATTTTTCATATTCAGAATTTGCTCTGAATATGAAATTCTCAAAGAAAACCCACCTAAAAATTCAGCATGTGAGTTTCTACAGTGGAGAAACATGGGCAGTTTTGTCTGCTCTGACAGGTCAAATTGTTTTTCAAAATACCTGTAAAATAAAAATCACCTTTAAACAGAAACTCAGTCTAAGAGCAAATAATGAAGAGTAGAAGAGTTTTTTCCAGTGCTTGTATGCTTTTGTCCTCCAGAACTAAAGACAGAATTAATGGATTTGCCATGCAAAAGCTCTTATTTGTGCAAGGATTTAGAAGAAACTTTCCCATGGTATATTCACATAAGAGTGATCTATGCTGGAAGAAAGAGAAGAAGTGGTCAAGAGCATCAGTACTGGAAGAATACACACATATATATGCTAAGCATGTACTTGTGTAGTGCGGGTGTTGGGAGTTCTTTATTTATTATTTTTAATGAAAGAGGAACTGACTGTTCTTTCCACAAAGTTTTGAAATGTCAGGAATGGGAGAGTGTGGATCACACGCAGACCACTATTTCAAGAAGCACTTGTAAATGCGGTGAGGGTGAGCGAGGGAGCACTAAGCAGACTTCTATAGCCTCAAATGGCCAAACCACATCAGAGCTGGCTGGCCTGTAAAGTAACAATCCAGAGTTTTTGTTTGCCCTTCCATGAAGGTCAGTCTTTCTTCTTTTGGGGTAGAACAAATACCAGTATTAGGCATCTTACTTCTGCGCCATTCTGTCTATTGTCTTCACTCTTTCAAAGTCTTCCACTGTTCCCCCCCCCCTCTCCTTTGTGTGCCTGCATCCTTTCCTTTTCACTCATTTTATCCCTACCTTCTATTCCTAGTATTCCCTTTGAAGGAGCGGTAACAGCAAGGCAGCCATCCTATGAAGAGACATAAAAATGTGGGCAGAGCGAAGGTAACTAGGTAGCCAGTTTCCCCAGTGCAGTTTCAAAAGGAAACTAATTAGCACTGAACTAACCCATCACTTGTCATTTGCAGATAGTTCTGATCCCAGGACATTATCATTTACCATTTCTGTCTGCCACGCTACAACCAGGCATGCAAATAACCAATGCTCAGGAAACACAGCAGAGGAACTTAGGCATGGCACGCAGCCAACAGTGCATAGGTGACTCAGTATCCATACGTAATTTGAGAGATGACATTATCTAGACAGGGCAGGAGAATGACACTGTGGGTCCCAACAGGCTGGGACTGTATGCACATACTGGATTTCTTTAGGTGTTGCTGTTAAAAGCAGTCCAGGGCACTGGGGCATTCCCATCATCAGGTGTCAGAAACATTTCAAAGACAAACTCAAGTGTCCACATATCACTGTGTATGATTCACATATCAATCAGGATAAAGTGACAGCAAACCATTAGTTTGATTTACGTTTTCCTAACATATAAATAATAAACACAATAAAAAAAAAGACAATGCAACCAGTCATTTAATTTTATGCAATTTTCACTATTTTCTGTATATTACAGGTTGATACAGAGGGTGGAAGCAAGGACAGGTAGCCTGGGAGAAATACAGAGAAATTGTTCGAGCAGTCAGGGATCAGGTTAGGAAAGCTAAAGCCCCGACAGAATTAAATCTGACCAGGGATGTCAAGGGCAACAAGAAAAGGTTCTCTAGGTATGTCAGTGATACAAACAGAAGACTAGGGAAAATGTGGGCCCTGTCTGGAAGGAAATAGGAGACCTGGTTACC